CATAATGGGGATCTACACCGTTTTCCATATAAAACCTCGAACGATGTCATCCCGATGGTTGCCTGGAAGCTGTTGTATGAAAATTCCATCAGTTGTAGTTTGAAATCCCAGCTTCCTTTGAAGTTCAGTACGCAAGCGCATAGCATGTCCTCTAGAATATGATTTAAATGCTCCGTTTGACCATCCATTCGAGGGTGGAAGGTAGTGTTGAAGTCGAGGCAAGTACCCAATGCTTTCTGGAGTCTACACCAAAATGCCGACATAAAGCGTGGTCTCAATCCGACACTATCAACCCTGGGACTCCATGCAACCTCACTATCTCTTTCACATACAGCTGAGCCAAATTATCAACGGTATATATTGCCTTTTTCTGGCAGGAAGTGTCCCGACTTTGTCAATCTGTCGAGAATTACCCAAATTACCGTAGAGCCCTTCAACGTTCTGGATAGTCCTATTATGAAGTCCATGACCATATTTTCCCACTTCCACTCTGATATACTCGGGGGTTCTAACATCCCTGCCGTCTTTTGTTCGGGAGCTTTTACTTGTTGACATATTAAGCACATTGCTCACAAACTCTGCGACGTCTTTCTTCATACTTCGCCACTAGAAGTGTTGTTTCATATCTTTGTACATCTTACTATTCAACGCCCTAAGATGTTAACATCACTATCACGTATCCCAAGGAAATCATCAAATTTATATAGGTCTTATATCATATCATATTGATATGAATCAAGAGACATCAATCATACAATATACTTCAATGAAGATGTGAAGAAAATATTGTTGAAATTATCAAAAGATATTTCAATTCATGTCACATTGATGAAAAATGAAGTTTCATGTCATAAATTTTGGGTGGATTATAATTTAGAGTAATTTAGAGTTATTGTATTTCATTAATGAATTTTAGGACTTTTTATTTTCATTAGGTTACAATTACATAATGGTTAATTATGACCGTTACAACTTTGGATGCCTTTAATAGTTTCATTTTGAAGCTATATAAAGCCATGTATGTTGTATTTTTAAAGAGACTTGGAAAATATAGTAAAGGAAGCATTTGTGCTTTTCTTTAGCCAATGACTAAGTTTCTTTGCAGTTCTACGTAGTTTAGGTTGCATGTAGAATCATTCAAGCTCGACTTGATCAATCTTGCTTGTGGAGTGATTCGAATCTCAATCAAGTGTTCTTGCCTTGAGATATTCAATCAACAAGGTAATCCGAGTCTTACTCCTGATATGAATCCAACAACTTATCACTTCCATGTACCCAAACGAGCAATTACAAGAAGCAATACAAAAGAAGATTCAAGAATCAAATCAAGAAAATAATGGAGTGGCTGATATTGGAAAGTGATTAGAAGACTTGCCATGGGTAGTTGAACTACTGAGACAATGTATGAATGCCTTATTTTCTTCTATTTATATTTAATAGCATTTATTAATAGTCTGTATGAATGCCTTATTTTCTTCAATTTGTATTTAATAGCATTTATTAGTGATTTGTAGTTGGAAGCTGAACTTTATTATGTTGAAGTTATCTTTTGGGCTTATTTAAAGACATGTAACATTCATGTTTGGGACGAATGGTTGAATACAGACAAAACCTTTGTGTTTTCTTGATACCCTTTTGGTGTTATTCTTTTTCAAACATTGCTTTAGGTTTGATATTTAAACTGATTCATTGAATTAGTTTTGATGAAGCTAATTCTGGAGTGAATTGTCTTGGTATCTAACAGTGACTATTATAGATTCCAAGTTCGATCTAAGAGTCATTCATCTTCTAACCAGCTCTTTGTTGGAATCAATCCGTTAAGTTAGCTTTCTCTGTGAACATTTTGCAAGGGTTCTGAAGAACCTCTAGCTTTGCAAATTCCAGCATTGTAGGCGTTTATCAACTCCCCCTGTAGTGATTTCCACATATCACATATATGTTGGGTTTTATGTCCTAAAACTCATAGTTTGTAAACAAAGATATATTCTATTTTCAATAAAGTTATTATTGATGTTTATTCAGTAAAAATTGTTATTGAATAAAGTGAACTTTACGATCATTAATCTAAATCCAATAAACTAAGAACACTCTGGCTATAGTATGATTACTTGAACTATATGTAGAGACATAAGAGTAGATCAAGTTCAAGTATATAGTCAAAATGATCTATAGTATAAGGATAAGGCTGAGTACCTTATTCTGGGGACACTATGGATGCGGCCCACTTTTGTATATGATATAAACAATGTGATCACTAAATTGTGCATGTGGAGACATGTGAGTGGGGGGCGTCCTATGCAATGAGTATTGCATAAGATCGGACCATGAAGAAAACCACTCTCACTTTATAAAGTCGTTTACTGTTGAGACTGATTTTCTTTTCATTCGATAACCTAGGTAACTCGGTTTTAATCCTGAGCTAACCATGAACTCCTGTTTATTCGGAATTATCCTTAGATTTGCATGGGTGAGAGTGGCTCTAGTTCGCCGACTCAACAGGCCTCCCATTTCAGGGGTAAGACTAGGTGAATGGCTGGGGATGTGGGGTGCAAGACGGAATTCACTCCTACCCACTTAGGGATAGAAGAAAGGTAGTTCCCTTAAGCACTGACTCCAGGTCTTGAACAAGGGGCCCCACCCTCTTATTGGCCTGAGAGGGATTTGGTTTACTGGTTGGACCACAAACCAATTGTTCATTAGAGGATCAGTGAGACATAAGGAACAAGAAGTAACTTCAGGGGTAAAACGGTAAATTGACCCAGCTCTAGTTACGAACAACCTGTGAAGGATCGACTTACTAATCATGGTTATATCAGATGGACAGAAATATATCTATAGTGAGGGGAGTGCAACTACTAGGCTATAGTGGAGTGTCCTAGTAGTTAACGAATGTTGGTTAACCAGGTTAATGAGTTTAATCGGTTAATCTTGGATCGTTGGAGCCCATGATCTATAGGTCCATTAGGTCCCTCTGCTAGCTCATATCGGACTAAACCATAGAACAATGTGACGAGTGAGTTCGAAGTGTTCGAATTCAAATTAGGGAATATGCGTTACATATATACGATATATTTAACCGCAATTTTGTTTTATTTACGAATTAAACGAAAAGAGAGAATGTGAGATATTTAAATAAGATTTAAATATCTTAATCAATTATGTGTCGGAATTGATTGGGATTGGCATTTGAATTAATATTAAATATTAATTAAATAGTTTAATTAATCATTTAATGTTACTTTAATTTGAAATTCATTATTCAAATTAATTGTTGAATTAAAATGAAGAAAGTCAAAATGTTGACTTTCATCTAATGGAAAAATCCATGTTAGTGGAATTTTGAGGTGTCAAAATTTGGTTTAACCAAACTTGCATGTTTGCCAAATAAACCCCACAAGTTTGAGTGGAATTTTGAGTGTCAAAATTTGGTTAACTCAAACATGCATGCTTGCCACATAATCCCAAACTCTTGAGTGGAATTTTAAGTGTCAAAATTTGGTGATCTCAAGTTTGCATGAACATGCAAACTTGACTCTTTAAATAGAGTGATCATGATACTTGGAGGGGATTCTTCATCTTGATGAAAAACCTTGAGAAAAACTTCTCACAAACACTCTCTTTCACATATACAAAATCCCTCCCAAGTTTAGTCACTCACCGGATTCCACAATCCCGTTCTAAGGCCGGAGGATAGTGGAGAAGACCTAGTGGTGGTTCGAAACCGGTTCGTGAGGCAAAAGGAGTTCGAACTACAAAAGTTAGTACTTAAACTGATTAAGTTTTAATACTTATGAACATGCTAGTGATTTACAATAATTGATGTTCTAAAAGTGCCTAAGATCCAAATTGCTTCCGCATGTGTTATATTAACACCATCAATATACCACTAAATATGGCTAGATTGCATACCTGGTAGCGATGAGGTGTGTCGTCGAACTAAGTCACATAGGTGTACAACTCTTTGTCCTAGGCTACAAAATCTAAAACATGACAGCTCTAATACCAATGAGACACGACCCAATTTTTGAGGCTTTGAAACTCAAATCGATACTAAAAAAAGGTGAAAGCAAAAACAAATAAAAATAAAAGATAAAAATTCGACAAAGTTTAACTTAAAAAAAAAAAAAAAACTAAATACAAAATTAAAGCTAGTTATAAGACGATGTTCAAAATACTACAAATGGGCAACGAGTTTGGAATAAAATTATAAAACAAAATACAAAGGATTCCAAAATGTAAAAATAGACTGACGCTATGAAATGACCCTCTTCATGACCATACAACTTTTGAACACTACTCCATCTCGACTGACAGTATGCGAACACTTAAAAAAGAAAGGAGAAATGGATAAGTATAAAAACACTTAGTAAGAAGCCTACTTATAGGCTCCCATCGCATCCATGACCTAACAGGTGACCACATGATTTACTCTGGGCTCTAGGTGTAAGTAGATCGACAAACCAAAACCTTATTTAAGTTGACTAAAAAGTCGGAGGCCATTCTAAGAAAACCAATAAGCCCAATGGTCGATCATCGAAGAAATTAATAAACCCAACGACTAATCATCTAGGAATATCAACATGCCTAAGAGTTAAAGTTTAGTATGATTTATTATGAATATAGTTAATTAACTAATTATATCAATTTAACAAAATTAATATACTTAATTATGTGATAATAATTGGTTAAAATATTTACTTAATTCAGTTTTACAAATAAAGATTTATTAAATAAATGCTATTACTTAATTACTTAAATTATTAATTAATTAGTTAACAATATCGTAAATAGATTTAATTATTAAATTTTTTTTTTCAATAATTATAACTAATGACTTATTGTTTATTTATAATCAAATAATTATTTATTAGGATAAATTTTAATTTTAAGAATTTTAAAAATCTAAAAACATAAAATTTATGATCGAATTCCCCAAAATACCCATGGTCGCATCCTTTCTGCGGAGGCTAGTACTTAGAGACTGATATATAAGGAGAAGGATCTCTCTTCCGAGCCCTAGGATACTCGTTGGCGTGCTTCACCCAATTGCCTCGGGAATTTCAATTTCTCCCCACAAAGAATTCCATATACCAAGCTGAAACTCTGTGGATCATACACCAAATTCAAACATGACGGATTACGATGGGAGGTACGAAGGTAATGGGGAAGATGCAGACAACTATGGCGATGGTTTTTCTCCTCAAGCTCGTGGTGGCAGCCATGGTGGCCACGACACTCACAGTGATTCGAAATCTCAGGTATTTTGTATTCGATTAATCCATGGCGATTCATTTGTTATGTTACGGTTTTGGTGGGATTTGGGGAATCGATGGTACTGCTGTTCCTAAGCTGAAATTATTCGTATTTTGTGTTCCAAGTCGTGTTCAATTATCGCGTTCTTTAGTTTCAGAAAACACTGGAACTGTCGAAGTTGGACATTTTTTGTTGTAGTTTGTGTTTTGAATGCTCTGCAAGACTGAAACATCACCTATAACCTTCCGTTTTGAGTCAATAAAATGACTTCAAGTTCTGTGATTTCAAATACTAATTCTTTATCTTGTTTGGAATGGTAACGTAATTAACTTTCTTTGTTTGGATGTTTGCGTAAATGAGAATGACAATTTTAGTAATACAGCGTTCCAACCATGATTTGTTTATTCGAAATTCGAATATAACAAGGTTAAATCAGCAATTTATACTTATATTCTATGAAATCCGAAGAAATCTAGCCTGTCTCGAAAACTTACTAAGTGAATTTTTTTTTTTAATTCATTTAGGATTTTAAACCCTACTATTTTTCACGGATAAGAAACGCTGGAATTCGTTTGAAATCCATTAGTATTTGAAGTTACTCTAAATCTTGGAGAAACGAACAGACCAACTTAATTCTCGGTGATTTTTTTTGTTCATTGTGAGACAATGTATAGTCGAGGTTAGGCAATTGGGTGGATTGTGGGAATTGGTTCTGTTTCTACTGTTCTTCCCTTTTTTCCCACTCAAGTTGGAAGTTTTTCTTGTATTCTATTCCTTAGCTTGGGTTGAGGTTTTCCTCCCCTCCTCTTTTATATTTAATTTTATGAATGAAATGGTTTCTTATATAGTAAAAGATTATGAAGAAACCAAAATCTTACTGACAAACTATTCTTTTACAGCATGGTTCTCGAGAATATGAAAGGGAATCTTCAAAAAGTCGAGAAAAAGAAAGAGATAAGGGGCGGGATAGGGAGAAGGACAGGGAGAGGGATCGGGACCGAGGTAGAGAAAGGGATAGGGAGAAAAGCAAGGATGGGGAAAGAGACCGGGAGAAAGACAGGGAAAGGGATCGTGACAAGGACCGTGATAGGGATCGTGACCGTCATCATAGAGACCGCCATAGGGATCGAGGTGAGAGGAGGGAAGGGGGCAGAAGTAGAGATGATGATGATTACTACAGGAGTAGAGACTACGACAGGTAATGGATTCTGTATTTATTTGCCCAGCTTCTTGTTCATAATTCATTCTTGGCTCTTACCTTATGCACTTTCGGGGTTTAGGGATTTATGTTGGGTTAAATTTCATTTATCAATGGAAATTAAATTGACTTTTTCATTTATAGGCGGAGAGACTATGATAAAGAACGAGAAGACAGACATAGACGTAGGTCTCGTTCTCGCTCAAAGGGAATACCTGAACATAGGTCAAGGTCCCCTTCTCCGTCGCGGTCAAGATCACGCTCCAAAAGGTTGGATATGGGAGTTAATAGCTATATTTTTCTTGTATACAACTTCTCTGTACATCCATCTGAAGTCTATGGGTGGAAAATTAGTAGGTTCAAACAGTTTGAATTTTTACTGAATTTATATTGCTTTACGGGGGAGTTTAGCAGATGTTAAATATGAGCAGTAAGATCATATGTTACGAATTAATATGTTGTCATTGTAAGTCAACTGTATGGTTTTTGTTGAGATATTGAAGAACTGTCTCCAGTCATGGTTTGAAATGTAAAAGGTTTAATTGTCATGAACTTGTGGTTCTCTGGCATTTCTCCAATTGCATTTATCTTTTTTTTTTGTTATTTTTTTGCAGTTTCCTTTTGTTGAATAATTGCAATATTGCTTTACCCTCGTTTATTGAGGATGAGATTGACACTACTATTTTGTCCATAAGAAGCTTCGCAATTTTTGGCCTTTCTTTGGTTTGTGCCTATTGGAGTGGCCTTTACCATATGTATCTCATTCTTTTCCATAATTTTTTCTTTTGAAAAGTCTGAACAGAGGAATGATTAGACCAGTAGGTTAGTATGTGGAATGTTTGGAAATATTGTTCTGCCATTCATTTTTCTCACTATATTTAGAGTTATATTTTCCTCTGGACCATAAATAATTGTTAATTTATTCTTCTAAGTTCTAATTTGTCATTGATATATAAGGGATGTTCACATTATTAATTTGAGCAGTGTAGCTGGGTATTTTTTCAAAAGAAAGTTAATGGTTTGCAATCGTGCATCCACACAATATTTTAATGTGGGCGACAAGCTATCATTATTTGGTTTCTTTAGTGCTCTGTATGTTACATAGATTTCTGGTCTATTTGTAGTTTATGTTGAATTCTTCTGCATCATACAAGTTGTTTGTCTCTCCTGGTTATGAAATTTCATGGTTTATCACCTTTCCTGCTTCTTTTGTCTTTGAACTTGTTATGCTAATATATCTTTCTCTGCAGCAAACGAATTAGTGGTTTTGACATGGCTCCTCCCACTACTGCAATATTACCTGGTGCAACTGCTGTTGCAGGTACCTAAATCCTTATGCACAGGAATATCCTTCTGTATTATTTAACTGCTTTTCTTTGTTGAATATAGTGTGGAAAGTTGACAACAAATTGCATGGTGTCATTGGGTAAGCTATATTTTGTTCCTTCATCGCATATGTAGTCATTTAAAAAATGTGGTCTTTGGACGGGCTATGCTATTATTTATTATTTACTTGGTACACTCATTCTGAAACTGAGAGGTATTTTGGTTTTTTGTTGCTTGTGTTTGGTGTTTGTTTGTTGTTTTGTTTCTATGTCTCGTCCAATTTTGTGAGAAGGCAATGTTGGACTACTTGCCCCTCTGTGCTGACCATGGGCGTGAGCTGACATCTGTAGCTTTTATGTGCAAGAAGGACCAATGCACCGGTTAGATGGATCTTGTTCGTCCTCATCTGGAAACTTTTTCCTTTTTGGGTAGTCTTACAAATATTTCTCAGAATTTGTACATGCATTAAATTTGTATGCTAAAAAATTTATTGGAAGAGGCTAAGTTACATCACATTGAGTTTCCTGAAGCATGAAGTAGGTTCAGGTGAACTTGAATCTTATGTGTATGCGAATGTTGTTGACTTGAATTGTGATTATTTTCTTTGATTTAGCCTAATTTCTTTAGCAGGTCAGATTCCCGGGACAACTCCAGCAATTCCTGGAATGTTTCCTACCATGTTTCCTCTGGCAACGGGTCAGGTAACTCTACTTCTCCCATATTAAAAACAATGGAATAATACAAAATCTTTAGACAAATGACATTAATTATTTGATAGAAGTATATATTCATCATTTACATTGTTTTTCCTTTTATTTGTTTTCATGCAGCCCTTTGGAGCACTTCCTGTAATGCCGGTTCAGGCAATGACTCAACAGGTATCAATTCAGTGCTGTTGTACGTTTCTGTTTTTGGTTGTACACATTAAGTTGGGCATTAAAACTTATGGTGCGTGTTCTGTTTTTAGGCTACTAGACATGCACGGCGCGTTTATGTGGGAGGGCTACCACCAACAGCCAACGAACAGGTTTTTTGCACTTCTTGTTGCTCTTTTTTTATTGACATTTTATTATATTATTTAATATTCAAAGTCCGTATCTTCATATATATTCTTGTCTGGAGTTCACCATTTGTGCATCCGATTGCAGATTTTTAGCTTATTTATTTTGTTAAGGTTTTGGTTTCTTGTAATTTTTTGATTCTGCAATGCCAAATGCAAATGTCATCCTCTGTTGACTTACCAAATAAAAGTTTGAAAAACTTATCATTCTTGGCTATGTTTATTCCTCTCCCTTTCTCACGACCAGTGCCGATAACCTTGGCATACTTTTCCTTCTTCATTTTCCATGTTTTTTTTTCCTCTAGTTGGCCAGGCCATACTGGAAACTTTTCTCATATAACAGCCAACTGCATTTATTCACAAAGGTCATTTGTTGTTTGCAGTCTGTTGCCACATTTTTCAGCCAGGTCATGGCAGCAATAGGAGGAAATACCGCTGGCCCTGGTATGGTGATTTTTTATTTCTGTTCATAGGTTTAACTGTCTGGATTGTTTGCCAAATCAACTTGTTTTAACTCATACGTTGGCCGTCTATCACTTATAGGAGATGCGGTTGTTAATGTTTACATAAATCATGAGAAAAAGTTTGCTTTTGTTGAGATGAGATCTGTTGAGGAAGCCAGTAATGCAATGGCCTTGGATGGGATCATCTTTGAGGTACTTAGTTTGTCATTGACTATTTTATATGCATAAAATGTTTGAACAAAATTTATTGTGGAAAATATTTTTCTTATCTGTTACTATTGTTCAAATTAGGGAGCGCCTGTTAAGGTGCGAAGACCTAGTGATTACAATCCTTCTCTTGCTGCAACGCTTGGTCCCAGCCAGCCAAGCCCCAATCTGAACCTAGCTGCTGTTGGTCTAACTCCAGGTTCAGCTGGTGGTCTTGAGGGTCCAGACCGCATTTTTGTGGGTGGACTTCCCTATTACTTCACAGAAGCTCAGGTCCGAGAGTTGCTGGAGTCTTTTGGGCCCCTACGAGGTTTTGATCTGGTGAAAGATAGAGAGACGGGAAATTCAAAAGGCTATGCATTTTGTGTTTACCAAGATCTTTCAGTCACTGACATAGCCTGTGCGGCCCTCAACGGTATTAAAATGGGAGATAAGACGCTCACTGTTCGGCGTGCAAATCAAGGAACCAACCAACCCAAACCAGAGCAAGAAAGTGTTCTGTTACATGCACAGCAGCAAATTGCGTTGCAGGTTAGTGAAGTTACAGGCTTTTCCTCTACTTTGTGGAATTTTAAATGAATGGCTCATGTACTTCTCCTACCTAATAACTTTAAAATACCCAAACATCATTGAAATTATCTTTATATATTATATTAGTCTTTATGTTTCAACTGAATAACATGGGGGAAGATTGCTAGTTGATATTTCAAGTTGATTCTTTCATTGAACTTTTGATTCTACCAGCATTGCAGTTGAGTTCTCGGGAGTTACCTGACGGACCGAAAATTCCCAGATTCGTTTAAACTTGTAATTTATTGTAAAATGCATAGAATACCCTAAAAAATGACAAAATGTCTTGTAGTGGTGAATAGTATGCATTTTGTTTCTTTCTCTGGCATGAATTGCGAGTGTGCTTGATAATGTGAAGCATGAATGATTCATTGAGAACAAGACCTGAAATTTGTAGTATACTTGGTTGCTAATATGTTGTGTATATAATATCAAGATCAACAGAAGTAGCTCCCAAGTTTGTTGTATATAACATGGCAATTTTTATAATTGTGAAATATTATCTTAGTTTATCACTATCTTACCGTATTCCTTTTTCAGAAGCTTATGCTACAGCCTGGGGCTGTATCCACCAAGGTTCTTTGTCTTACACAAGTTGTTACCCCGGAAGAGCTTATTAATGATGAAGACTACGAAGATATCATGGAAGACATGCGAGGGGAAGGCGGAAAATTTGGTAAACGAACACATTTTTTGGTTGTGTACCTATCAACATAGATTCTATAGGACTTCAAAGCTTCATGCATACTCATTTATTTCTTGTTTGTTTTTTCTGTGTGATACCTCTGTTTTACAGCCTTTTCTTGTCCTCACATTCTGGTAGAAAGAATTAGACAAATAACTTACAGACAGAAGCCTCCATAGCCCCTTCTATCTTTATACACCCACCCGACATATGCTTCTTATCTGATTCTGAATTTTTTTTTGGTTTCAAGTGGTTCTTATTGTGTCTTTGCAGGTGCATTAGTAAACGTTGTAATCCCGCGTCCGAGACCCAATGAAGCAGCACCTGGAGTTGGAAAGGCATGAATTTCTGCATCTTTCAACCAAAATTTTCAATTCTTTTTCCTTCCTGCAAACCTGAATTTTGATTTGATACCCAAAAACAGTCATCTTATGATATTAGGAACAATGAGATTATAGAAAGTGAAGATGTGATTAACTCAGTAACCTCTTCCATTCACTCATATTTCCTGTTTCATTCGTTTTATCTGGTAACAGAAGAGTTTGTAAACAACAAGGAAGCATCTTTCTTGGTTGAGTCCTCTTCTAAGTTAATTTGGAAGTCTAACTAATACTTTCTTGCTTTTGTTTTTTGCATACCAGGTGTTTTTAGAGTACGCAGACATCGAGAGCGCAACGAAAGCTCGATCTGGTTTGAATGGAAGAAAATTTGGAGGGAACCAAGTGATAGCTGTATTCTATCCAGAGAACAAGTTTGCCCAAGGGGAGTATGATGCCTAAACTTCACTTTTTACTTACAAACACAGTTATTGGTAAAAAAAAAAAAAGAAAATATTTACCTTTGTTCTAAATGTGGTAAGGTAAGGTAAGGTAAGTTTGTGAACAGGCAAGTAAGTAAAGGTAGCGTCTAGATTTTAGATAGTTACTGTCTCTGTCATTTTAAATAGTGTAATGGATGGATAGCCTCATCTCAACCTTCTTCTTTATTACTATACTTTTAATAGACTTTCTTGAATCTTGTGTGTACTATTGTTTTGTTCAGTTGTTTCTTCCCTTTTGGTGTATGCTATTATTTTGTTCAATTGTTTCTTCCCTTTTGGTGTATGCTCTTATTTTGTTCAATTGTTTCTTCCCCTTTGGTGTATGCAAGTAGAGTTTGAAATCAATTTAAACTTGAATTAGGGCAATGCGTTTAGACAATTTTTGATGCAACAACCATTCAGGGAATTAATTTCATAAAAATATATTACATTTTTAAAACTTGTTAAAAGAATAGATGTTATCATTAAAGTCTAGTTTCAAAATAGAACACAAGTAGATAAAACAAAATAGGCTCGTATTTAGGTAAGATCTCTGAAGGCTTCCGCTCATCCACGTCAACATCTCGATCAACCTGCTGCACTTTGCACATCTTAAAGTGAGTAATTACAATTATTGTTAAACAAGTTATACTAATTATTCTTTTAGTATATTTTTGTTTTATAACTAACTTTTTCATTGCAACTCCAATAGACTTTCTTCCTTAAAATGGTATAGTTTTAATCCATCTCCTACTCGCCAGGAAAAAAATAATTAAGTCCAAAGACGGTCCAAAACTATAAATTTTACTGTACTTGACCCATGCCGGGCCGGAATGTCGACTTTTGAATCGACTCTGGCAAAATAATTAAGTCCAAAGATGGTCCAATTAAGTCCAAAGATGGTCCAAAACTATAAATTTTACTGTACTTGACTCATGCCGGGCCTACTCTGGCTTCCTTCACAAAACCTGCAAAATATCTCTAAGAACAAGATTCTAAGGGCCTACTCTGGCTCCCTTCACAAAACTTGCAAAATATCTCTAAGAACAAGATTCTAACTATTTAGAATCTAAATCCAAATAAAACCGGTTCGTAACTGGAGTTTGGAGTGAATTTCATTTTCTCTCGGCCATTCTTTCAAACTCTTTTCTATGTTTCTGATATATTTTCAAAAATATTCTACTCTTATACCTCAACTTTTGTATTTACTCTAATATTCTACTCTTATACCTCAACTTTTGGGGACAGACTTCAAATAGACGGGTATTTTTTACCTTATCAAGCCAATTGATCTATTTTGATAATTTTTCATTTGAGTAGTATGATCATACATTAAAAATAAAATTGTTATATAATTGGTATGAATCGATTCACTAATAAAAGTTTAGAGTTTTAATTAATAATAACCTATAAAAGTCGGTATAAATTCAACCTTTTCCAACCATAAATTACAAATATATATAATTTACAAACAAAAATATGATAAAATCAAAATCCAAACTTAAAGGTTACTAAGATTTATACTAAGATCTATCACCTCATTCTCTTTCTCTCTTCTTATTTCCTCTTTCATTCCCTCTAACTCCCAAACTATTCCTTCAATCTTTGCTTCAATGGCATCATCACTTAGCTCAAAAGCACTCTCCACCACCCTCACAATCCTCCACAAACTCCCCACCATTATAACTCCACCGCCTCTCCTCTTTGCAGCCACCTCCAAACCCAACGCCACACCCACAACCACGCCATCCACGACGCAACCGGGTCGCCTGAAGAACGAGAGGCCGAGGCCGACCACCAGAGCCACGGTCTTCGTTGAGAGCAAGCTCAATATGGCAATGCTCACCCAATGAAAACCCATAACTTCTTCTTCTCTCTTGTGACTAACAGGCGAATTACATGATATTAACGAAGATGTTAGTTCGAGAACGGTAACGATAAGGTCCGTTAAGAGGAGAACAATGGTGATGAGATGAGAAGGTGTGGATTCAAGGAAGGTGATCAAATGGGATCTCCATGAGGATAATGGGTTGGTGGTGTTTAGAATTGGGGTGGCAAAGAGAGTATGCCATTTTCTACGTCTTTGGTTGAGTTTCATAACATTTTGAATAGACAATTCTAAGGCTTGGATGGAAGCGGCAGAGGCGGGGGCGGGGGGTTCGGCCGGAGTTGGTGAGCTTGAGAGATCAGCCATGGAGGGTGAATGAGGTTGAGATGTGATATGAATGGAGGGTTTAATATGAAAATTATATGGAAGAGAAAGTGGTTGACATGGTGTGGAGGTCACGTTAGGCGATGTGGGCTGCTTCAGAAGATGCGTGGTGAAAGGTAAATTAATGCTTAAAGCATATCGTTTACACAAAAGCAAGCTACCTTTTACGTTCTTAATTCTTTTCTTCTTCTTTTTTTTTTTAGTTAAGATCATCCTTCATCTTCACTCAATCCTACTGACAAAAACATCGTATCAGAGTGAATGTTAGGAATCACGACTCTCTAATAGTGTGATATTTTCCACTTTGAGTATAAGCTCTCGTGACTTTACTTTGAGCTTCCTCCAAAAGACCAGTATCATTCCTTAAATTAACTAACATGGACTCTCTCCCAATAATCATCAACCGGGGGAACGAAGAAACTTAGGTTGGAAATTGCCCACGATCGAAATATGTCGAAACAAATAACTGAAGGTGGAAGAACAACTTAAGAGGAGATAACTTTTGAATAGAGGAACTTAACTGCTTATACTTTATTAATTCTTTTGAATACTCCTATCAAAGTTTTAGAAGTTTAGAACAATTAGTTTCAATTTTACTCCGTGACGCTTCTATTTAAACGGAAATAAATCCTATAAATAACTCCTACAAAAACTCAACTAAAATACATCTGCTGATAAAAGATGAATAACTCAACAACTTTACTAATTCAGCTGTAAGTTGCACTAATAATTTTGACAACTTCTCATAGTGGAAGCTTATTTTTCAATAACTCCAAGAGCTTTATTAAAAAATTTAACTTGGTGCAACCATATGTCTGCCCATGGACTTCTATTGACTAAGAACATAAATCAGAAAATTTGATGCAGTCGTTCACAGGTCGCCATACAAGGGCATCGCATGCCACCCACTTTCTCTTTTCAGGGGACCTGTGCAAATGGGAGCAAGAATGGCTTGAAACAACCCCAAGTCCACGTAAAGTCCGCCCAAATTATACAAAACATCTACAATCACAGTGAGCATCAACATAATATGGTTTCATGAGTATGCCCTCTTCTAAAGCCTTAACGGTAGCCTATATTCCCCTACTCCAAATAAAGCACTCCCTAGCAGTTTCAAGGCTCTAAAATGCGTAGGACAAAGAATAGAAGCAAATATCCCCATTGATTTTCCCCAGCCTCCGTCGCCTCCAATGCTAATAGAAACTCTTCCTTTGCCTCTTTGTATTTTCCAAGAACATACCAGCAGTTCCTAGCTCTAAAATGCGGCCTCACTTCAGTAGGTTGCAGCTCACAAGCCCTCTTGAAGCTAACAAGAGCCTCCTTGAAGAGTTGGTGCTCATATAAAACCCTACCAATTGCCATATGCCCATCAAAAGCCTCCTCTTTGGACCGCGCTCGATCTGCTCGGGTTCTCAAAACCCCTAATTTCTTGAGAAACGAAGCATAGTCGTGGCCGAACTCTTCCCAGAAAACCCTCTTCTCATAAAGCTTCGAAGACCGCCCCAATTCTCTCGACCAGCTTGCATCAGAATAGGCATCAAAATTGTCTGCCCATTTCCTATGAATTTCCTCACATATTAAGAGGTTCAAAGTATCAGATTTCTCACAAGATAAATTCGAATACTTACCGACTCTCAAAACCCTTCCTCGGTTTTGATTGTAAAACCTATCACCAACAAATGCTAACATGTCAGGAACTCCTTCAACATTGCCAAATATGTCATTCACTACCGGAACTAGACCACCAAAAAGCATAATAAAGAACAACAAACCCAGAAAATTAATATTGTCAACCTTCTTAATTCTTCCCACAACCTTCTTACTCTCATTCTTTTTACTCCTAGTAGGAGGAGGAGGCTGACACACATACCACTACCACTCAAATGTTGTCTGAAGCCTACATTCTCAGCCATCACATATGATATCTTACTATTCAATTCAGCAATGGTTGAATGCATACTTCTCAATTTATTCTCCAACTCCTCCACAATGCTTTTTCCTCTCCTTGGAAAGTTGCGCACTCTCCCTACTCCTCATCAACCCCGCCTTCCTCTTCTCTTCATCCTCATTTAGAGCACAGGTACTCAATTGAGGATTGATACTTTCTAATCTCAAATCCAGGTTTCCTTCATCCAGGTTTTTCTTCCTCTTCGTCGTTCAAAATTTTCCTATTTCCTTTGATTTAATATTCTGATCGACAATGACATCGTAATACTCTGCATTAGAAGATGGGCAATTCATTCCCTCAGAGACACCAGAACCGAAATTTTTAGAACCCGAGCCGTGAGACGACGCTGGCTCGCCTGAGAATTCATGATCACTACCACCGCCACCATGCTCTAGGGAAGGAAAATTTACAATCCTCGGACTCTTTGAGTCCCATCCATCAGAATGGGTCGAAAAACACTCGCTACCTGCGGTTCTTAATTCAGAATATTGATAGTTTAGAAACTCAACTTCATGGGGGACTGCTTGCATGAAACCGCAGAGCTTTTGGATCCTGGAGAGCATGCAAAGCTGCAAGCACGAACAACAACGCTCCCAGAAGCTTCCCGGTCAGCCTGCAAGTCCAACGAATTGATAGTTTGGTCCAAATCTTCGGAGATGAGGAAATCGTCAGCCTCAGAGGGAAGGAAAGAACTATTAAGATCTCCAAAGGTTAGCTCAAAATCTTCATTTTTGTCAAATCCCAAATCCAAGACCGTGAAATAAACAGGAGGGTCACCAAGGGTGGTAGAGTTGGCATCGGAGAAAAAAAGAGAGTCCAGAGGCGGAATTTGGAGGGAATCAAATTCAGAAGCGTAAGTAGTGGAATTAGGATTTTGATCATCTATAGAGACATCCTCTTGATGTACGGCTGAAGTCACGTTTGTTGGCTGATCAAGAACCTCAGTGGTTAAGCAGTATTCCCAAATTGGATCTGAAGAATTTTTACTTTCATGTATAGCATTTGCTTTTAATTTCTGCATTTTGACTTGGCAATTTGGCTTAATATGGCCTGGCTTTTCGCAACG